ATTAAAATAAGAAATGCAGTTATCTTGTTCACATAGCTTGTATCAAAATTCTTTAATGGAAGACCCTTTTGCTTTCTTTTTCTAATTAATATCTCATATTTTTTTCTTTATAATATTTTAATAAATCCATTAAAAAAGTTTGCCAGATATAAAGAAAAACCATTCTGATATTTCATTAGTGATGTTGGAATTCTAAGTTTGGTTTTATTTTTTTGTACATCATGTCATGCTTTTCATGTCATAATTCCTAATGTTTTACCAAAGTCTGTGACTGTTTCAGAGGTAAGTTCGTATTTTTAATTCATAATTTTTGTTATGTTAACGTGTCTTAGTCTCAAAGCAATCTTTACAAAAAAAAGGCTAGGATAATTTGCTACTACTGAAGAAGACTTGGTATTATAAAATGTTGAAAGCATGTTAGTCAAACATATTAAAAGATTATTTTTATTATTCTTGTCAGTAGATTCTACTATAGATAAGACCCAGCGACCTATAATTTGAAGTGCTTTGCTTGTATTATCCTTATGCATATCTATGCATTCAAAATTTGATACATTTTTACAGCCTTTTCGCTCATAAAAATGTCTACTATGTGTAATAAAATACTCTAAATATATATATTTAGGTTGATATTTTGCTGAATTATTGTTATCGTTAATATTTTCTGATTCTATCTCCTGTTTGAATATAGGGCAAACTTTAAGTCTGACACAAGGAATTTGCATATATTTCCAAAAACATGTCTCGAATGCTATATACAAGTCCTACTCAGACTAAAAAAATGTTTATATTTATTACAAAATAAGTAATGTCAGCAAAATCCAACTTTTTTCAATTGAACGTGTCTTTTTGATATTTAAAAGATGAAGCTGATTTTGATCATAAAGGAAGTGAAAATGATATACACCTATTGTTGACAAATCATTTTTTGTTTGAGCTTTTTAAAAAATCTTTGGATTGATCTCCCAAGCTTCAATTGGTTGGGAAAGTAGTCTCTGTCTTTCCAAATAGCTTGAGCAACATTGAATAGAACCATTATTAATGTCTAAAATTGGACATTCCAATAAAGATTCACTAGTGTTTATTGTGTTCATAACAAAATATTCATTTTCATCAGTTGATCCTGATGTAGTCAACTCTGAATCAAATATTAAAATTGTTGATTATTAACATTTACTTCAGTATTGGTATCAATATCTTTTAATAAAAATATATCATTATTTTTGTCCTCTTCTATAAGTGTTTTTGCTTTTTCAAAATTGGAATTATTAAAAAGAAAGGGTTTTTCTATATCATAATTTAATACATTATTATCACTTCTAATACTTTTTACAACACTCTCTAACGTAAGACTTTTAGCAAAGGTTATACTCTTCAAATCATCATAATCGTTAGAAACATAATTGAAATTATCAAAATGTTCTGCAAGTTTGTATTAGATATAGCAAAGGGCAAATTTTGTATGATAAGATGACTAATACTAAGTAAAATATCATCAATTAAAAAAAAAAGAATTTTATAAAAAAAATAGTAATGGTATAAAACTAAAAAATTTATTATTCCAAAGAATAAAATAATGCTAAAACTAAATTTCTAACTAACGAGTTATTATTGTCAGAAAAAAAAATTTAAGAAAAAAATGAAAGTGGATTTAATTTAATGTTGATTCTTTAACGTTAAAAATTATAAGGCCTTTATATAACAATAAGATTGTTTAATATTTTTTTTTTTATAGATGATGTCTTATTAAGATATATAAAATAGAGTACAAATATAGGTATATAAAATAAAAATATATATAAAGAAACCATATATCTTAAATTAGTAATTCTATGATCACATCCTGTCTGATTGCTTTTCAATAGAAGAAGTAGTTATTATTTTGAGTGACAAATTTGTCGATCTTTAATTAATGCATTCTGTTATACTTTTTGATACATTCTTAAATATCATATTGCATGCGAAAATATTATAAGGTGTAAATTCAATATCTCTTTAACATATGAGTAGATTAAAAAAAAATGCATATCGATATCATAATGGTAATGATAAGTTTAATGTTTTAAAGTTAGTTAAAGTTAATTAGTCTGAAGTATAATGAGAACTTACACATAGTGATACAAAAATGTCCTATTATCCATCTGATATATGACGATATTTTGCACTTCAGACTTTGTAATGTTTTTGTTTCCTAGTTTATGTAACTTAACGTTAACGATAATATCAATATCAATAACATTTTTAGCAATTCCTTTAAATTAAACTAAGAAGTTCTTGAAATTAGATTTATATGTAAATTTATCAGTGCTACAACTTTATGTAGATTAAAAATTCCGATTTTGAGTTTTATATGAAGAAACTGTTAAAAATTACTGCGTCACATGATTTTATTTTAAAATTTTCGATGGAAGATTCTTTAAAACTATCATTATTATATAATATTAATAAATAGACTTTTAAAAAGAAGAGGTCCTGGTTATACTTATATTAAAATAGCAAGAAGTTATAACCATTAAATTTTGGTGTTAGCATATAAGTGAAAGTTGTGAACTAGCTTTTTTATATATAAAAATTGTGAAAATGCAGTGTGCCGATCTCTTAATTAAAGCAATTCCCGCAAAATTAAGTGACAAAATCTTGTGTAACTTTGAATTAAGAAATCTTATGCATATGTTTTTTGAGCTTTTACAATTGGTATAAAATTTTAGTGACATATCCTGTGACCGTTATATTATAAAATTTGTAAATTTTTTAAAAATGATCGGTGCTTAAATTTAAAACCGAATGGTACATCCGGTTCCAAACTCTACTCAGGAATCATGTTTTCCAATCTTATCACAATTAGCAAAAAAGTACTTAGCTATTCCGGCAACATCTGTTTCTAGTGAAAGATTGTTCTCTGATGCCGGAAATGTTATGATAATTAGGCATACCACTTTATTGCCATCTACTTTTGAACATTTAGTATTTTGTAGACGAAATTGGCGTCTGACTGGTAAGATTTTTCCAGATCCTGAGTAATTTGATTAGGTCATATAGTTAAACTGTGTGGAACAATCTTGTTGGGAGCGTGATTGTATGCGTAGGACAAATATTTTGTGTTATACGTATCGTATTGTAGATCTTCAATAAATCAATTGCTATAACATAAGCGAAATTCTTATAAAATTATTATTGGGAACAATTCTAAGTTTTGTAAATATTTCTGTTGTTTCTTTTTATAAATATAGTAATATTTTTTTTTGTATATTTCATGTAATTTTAAATGACGTGTTAAGATATAACAATACATATTGCAGATTTGGGTAATATATATATGTTATATAATGAAATAATATAAAATACGCGTTTAGCGAAGTTTCTTTATTAACTTTAAAACGAGAGAAATTAAATTAAATTATCATTTATGAAAACAAGAAAAAAAAAACTTAAAATAAAAATTTCGTTCACCTGGATATCCGGATATTATCCGGATAAATTAACTGGATATCCGGTTAATTCGGATATCCGGATGAACGGATATAAACTCTAACGAACGTACACTATATTAGTTTTGGAAATAGGGTTTTATCGGTTCCTTTTCGGTTCCCTTTGACTCTTCTTAAGTAATTAAAACTTTTGGGCGTTAAAGTTATACTAATAGAGCATGTGATGTTGATCAATTGAAAAAATGTTTTTATGTTTTTTTTATTTTCGTATCACGATAAATTGTGTAGGCAATGACAACCATGAAATGGATTACTGGTTGATTTCAATGTGTATTATTACTGGTCGAGTAATGGGCGTCAAGGTTAAATTTATACATTTGATGTTGATCAATTGAAAAAAATTTTTTTGTTTTTTTATTTTCGTATCACGATAAATTAAAAATAACTTGTTTGCCATTTACAGTATAATGATAATCATTTGTAACTATGACTTACCAATGAAAACTACTCGAAAACGAAAAACAATCCATTGTTTGGTAAAATCATTGTTCTTTTTAAATTGTTCTTAAATTTTGAGTCTTAATTGCATAATCATGAGCCCTTTGTAATTTTGATCTTACAAATTGATTTTTATTAATTGTGATTTTTTAGAAATATTTATGTTATACTAATAAAAAAAGACCCATAAAAAAGACCCGGTAGAATAACCTAAAATAGTTAATTTTGGCACTTGCGGATTTATGGATTTAAAATTTGGAAATCTGGAACATAAACAATGGAATCACATTTTAAAATAAATCATTATTTACAGTGGTTTAAAAATTTATGACGAAAAAAAAAAAAAGAAATGTCGCTACACATCGTCGTTACAAATGCAATGAAGGCGACGCAAAAAGGGGGGAAATTCAAATCAGGTTTTGTGAAGATCAGAACACAGAAACTTGATTTATCCATTATAATCATTATCAATAAAATTTCACTAACCCATTCAATTCGAAAAAGATGTACAAGGTAAAATTTGGTTTTTTATTCAATATAATATGAATTCCAAATAAATCAAAGATCTTTAATACCATGTGTAAATCATAAAAATAAATTAGAAAATATAATTCACTTGGTATTTTTAATATTTAAAAAACAGAAGGAATTATGGACGAAACCGCTTATATTTTCAAAATCAATTAGGCTTACGTGTGTTGTAATTTTTTCTATATTTTTTTTTGGGTTACAACGACAATAGCAAAACCCTTATCCGACCAATAAATTATTACTTTTTTGGAAATTCTATTAATTAAAATGGAATTCCTTAATAATTTTTTTTGGTAACGTTCATTCAAATTTCAACAATAAACTTTTATGATAGATGTATGTATTTTCCTTATTCGTAATCCATTTATAATTTTTTGGAACGAACAATATTAAAAAAAAGGGGGGTGAAATCTTATTTTTTACAATCCGGACAATAAATAACTAGATTTTGATTTTTGGGAAAAAATGTATATATAAACACGGTTAGTAATCTTTACAAAAAAAACGCCATTATTAAAAACGGTAAGCTACCCTATCAAAAAAATGACAGATGATAAAAAGGAAATTATACTCGATATAGCTATAAGTTCGGATGGGTCTCTTGCTGCGACTTTTAATTCAGGTATGAATTTTTAATTAATTATATTTTTTATCAGTTTGATACTTTCATTGAAAAATCGCTTAATTATTCATTCACTTTTATCTTTGATTAGAATTTGTTATTGAAATTTACGACTTAAAAGATAACAAAACTACATGTCTTAACACTATACCAGTTGGCAATTTATCTGGGGAAATATATTCTTTGGCCATTTCCAATAGCCAAGGAAAAGAAAAATATGCATACGTAGCCGTATCAAGTTTTCGCGAACCTACTCCTGCGCCTCCTGTCGGGCCTCCTCTCAGGCCTGCTGTCACAGATTTAGAAAAAGGTCCCGATAACCTGGAAGAAACGTTCGTTTTTTCAGTAATACTACAAAAAGAACAAACAAGAAAAATTGAAACTATTGTAGATCGCGGAGGGGTTGTTAGATTCATAAATAATGCTTTGTCAAAAAATGATAAATCAGACGGATCTATTAGTCTAATTGTAATGAACAAGTTTGGAATTACAAAAGTATTCATCAATCCTTTGGCTGCGAAAGAATATGAATTACCAAGAACCATTCAAGTTAAAGTTGAAAATTTATATGAAGAAAATCCTTGTACGAAATTTTTATATAACAGAGTTGAGAAAAATTTTTTATGTGTTGAAGATTATAGGAATCAAAGACTTGAATTGTATAATTTACAATCCTTGGATTTAGAATTGTTCTGCTATAAGCGTGATGAATTGTCTGATTTAACGCAAGCGCGTGGAAATTCCATGTTTTCCATTTCAAAAAATGGTCTCTTATTAGCATATTGTAATGGTACAAGGAGTATTGCGATTCATTTAATGGAAAATGGACTCGAGATTACGTCGCATGAATTTATTGACGCAAACAAAGTCCTTTTTATTTCATTTACTGAAGATGATGAAAAATTATTCATTGTCACTCAAAATGAATCATCCCTAAAAATATATATTTGGGATCTTTTTAATTCTAAAATGATTATTGATGATCAAATGATCAACATTTTTAGTTCCCTAGAATGGTATAATAGCCACTTAATAGCTTGTTCAAATGGTATAATCGCATATTCAGAGAAAGAGGGAAAGGAGGATAGGGATAAATGTTCAGTCTTCAAAACGTCGACAATTCCTACTTTTAAACCACAAGGTCTTCACACAATTGATATTAATGATAAGCCAGAATTTGTCGTTAACAATAATAAAGAGCCTTGGAATCATGATAAGGATCTTGAACAAAGATTTTATAAACTTGTAGAAAATGAAAAAATTCAAATTATAATTGGAAAAACAACAGTACAAGTTTGGATGACAAATGGTGATAACAATAAAAGTAAACAAGATAAATCAGTTTTAGAATATATTTGGGTGAATAAAAGCAATGAAAAAATTGAAGTTTCATCTTTAAATGTTGGAAAGAAAGAATTTACTTTAGATTTAACATGGACTGTGTATAATGAAGAAAATAAGCTTCATGAAAAAAAAAAGCATCATATTCATTGGCCAAATGAAACTCATGTCCTGAAAGACGCATGCGTTGCAATGGAGAATCTTTATGAAAGAAGAGACGAACCTGTAGGGATGGAACGTCTAACCGTATACAATGATTTAGTTGCAGACACGGAAAGTCTTATTAAAAAATGCATCGAAGACAATACGGATTTATGGAGTTTAACTGAAATACGATATGATATTATGGCCAATATCATCCGTTCAAAGAATACAACGTTGATCCATCAGATTTTATTCGATTATAAAGGAACAAATGAGAAGAAAACGAGAGTTAGCCGTTATATACATATTCCAAGGGAAAAAAAATGGCCTATGATGTCTACTAATAATAATTCTTCAGATGAAATAAGTGATTCGATGCGTCATCTTAATAATTCTTCAGATGGAAATCGTAGGGAAAGTGATTCGGAAAAGGAAATAAGTGATTTGGAACCTGTTATTAATAATTCTTCAGGTGGAAATCGTAGGGAAAGTGATTCGAAAAAGGAAATAAGTGATTTGGAACTTGCTATTAATAAATCTTCAGGTGGACATCGTAGGGATAAAGTTATCGTCGCCATGTTGCTCGTATATTATTCAAATAATGCGGAAAAAAATATCGGTGAGTTAATTAATATTTTCAAACGAAATCCGAAATATATTACTAAACAAAAAAATATTTCCGTTACACAGGTTGGATGCATACATTGACAAATGCTCTTCCTTTGCTTAAAAGTGACTTTGGTATTTAAATGAATATTTCCTCTCTAAATAGTTTGCGTTGTTCATGCGCAAAATTTTTATTTAATGATAATAATTTGCATCATTATAAATACAGAACCTTATTTAAAGGAGTTATTTTACAAACCCTGCTTTGGATCCAAAGAAGAAAACGTAGATACAAGATTTGTGGATGAAATTAAATTGAACAAAGGATATAAAACAGAAATTTGTGCATTAAATGTGAGACCACGACTGTTATTGAAGCCAAATGAGCCTTCATGGTGGAATGAATTAAAAAAATCTTTTACGCGTAAAGGTACGAAAAACGAAGCTACACAAGTAACGTTACGTGTGGTTCCATTGCCCAACTTTACAGTTTATTCCGATGGACCAGAAACGACACCTGCCTATTTAAAGATACCTGCCATTTTGAAGATTTCGTTAAAATTTATATTACTCATCTTTAAGCCAAGAGGTTATGCTATTACTAATAAAGAGAAATATAGCACTTTTCTAAAACTTATAAGTAATAAAAAAGGTGGACGGTTATATGAATTATACGATAATCCAGCAATGGAAGCATGTATCGATTTTAAATGGGGGGCAACGAGAAATCATTTTTGGCGTCATTTTGCAATATTCATAGCCTTTTCGTTCATGTTTGCATTAGTTTCTGGAATAATCAAAGACGTTGGTTTTGTAATAGGAAATTTAATGTATGGAATATTTTTTTATCTTGGATATTATCTTTTATCGACGAAAGTTGTACAATTTTATCACGAGAAATCGAAAAATTATTTTACCATATATAATATAATTGATATTACATCAATCATGCTTGCGATAGCTACGATGATTTTCTTTCTTGTTAGGAATGATTATAGCAGTTCAGAAGAAATTCGAAAAATCATTATTATGCAAGCATTCGCGGTCTTACTTTTATGGCTTGAATTAGTAAGTATTACATTTGTTAAATTACTTTTTTTTTAATCATCAGTGATTTTAATTTCTTTATTTATTTCTCTAGATATTACTGACGCGATACTTTAAAAGTAAATATCTTCATTATATCATTTATTATGACTAAAACTGATCATTTATTATTATTATTTTTTTTTAAAAAAAAAATTAAAGGCACTGCAACATATATTAGCATGATTTTAAAAATTTTAAAAACTATTATGCCATTCCTAGTTTTTATGGTAAATTTAATCATAACATGATAAGGAGGAGCATGTCTATAATCTATTTATTAATTTTTTTACTTTTTTTTTAAAAATAAAATATATATAGTTATTGTCGATCGTTGCTTTCGGTCACGCAATGGTATGAATGAACTAATTTGTTTTTTTTTTGTTTCATCTAAGCTTTGTTAAAAAGATTAAACTCATGAATTCCATTTACTTTTTTTAAAAAAATATTTAATTCAAATATAATTAGCATATCATATTAAAAGATCCTAATCGTATTGAATTGATACCTAACGGCGACACCTTTAATATAACATTACCAAATAATGATGAAATCGTGAAAATTACACAAGACATTAATGTTACACAACCTGTCGAAAATTATTATAGATCATTTGTGTATTCTGTTATGGGAGCTTATTTTTGGATCCTTGGTAGATGGGATCAAATAGAGGAATGGGATTTTTGGCCCGTCTACGTGATCAGTATAGGTAGATATTTCACATATTGTATTTATATCATCACGTTAATCATGAAGTTGGTAAACCTTGTTTTTTATTCTTAGGAGCAAGTATTATATTGGTCATTATCATGCAGAATTTGTTGATTGCATTTATGACGGGTGTTTATGAAGATGCAAAACAAAATGGAAAATTGGCGGTGTTAGGTTATAGAGCAGATTTGATCGCTAATTATGAAACAATGGAAAAACCAATGGGTAGTCATAGAGGGAATCCAAAATATATTTATTATGTCGGAAGTTCGGAATATCAGGAGGAATGGTTGGATAGAGCCAAAACTTATAGGAAAACTCTTAAATCTTTATCATTTAAAGATGTTAGTAGTAAAGTATTATCACAAGACGATATTTCGAATGATAAGAAATTAACGGAAATGCAAACAGATATTAAGTCGTTGCAAGATGCTGTAAATACGATTAAAGAACTGGTATTAAAAATAAAATAGGTCTGAATACTTGTATTTTCATATTTTTATTGTGTATATTATATTGTCTCATAATAATAAAATTATTGATTTTATACGATAAATGACGTTACGCTAGGTTTATTATTAAAACTTTTATCTTAAAATTACTAATATTGATCAACACCAATAGTTTAAAAATTAAGCGGTCAAGTCATAACAATCTTTAAAATGCACGTAGCGAATTCTTGAAATTATCTAAAGTCCGATACCTTGTCACATTTTGGGCAATTTATTCATTTTTCACAGGTTACAGAAATATACCAAACCGACAACGCAGCTTGCCGAAAATAAATAAACTAGAATTAAATTCAACATTTCATTGGAAAAAGAAATAATAATAATAATAAAAAGGACAATTAATCGTTGTAACGATTTCAAAGGAACTGATATTGTTATACTGTATATATACAACAAATAGATTGATTTAGGACATTTCGATCTCGTCTCTCCATGGGGTTAATTAGTAAACCCAAAAAGTGTCAATGACGATTAGGATTTATATTATTGTCAGCGTAGCGAAGGCCTTTTAATACTAAAATGCAATGTTGATCAGAAAATTAAAAAATTATCATTTGTGTTACATAAATCTGCACAAGAGCACAATTTCTGACAAAAATCTAAGGCTGGCTCTAATGCTTCAATTCAATTTAACCTTCGTCATATGCCTCACAGTATACTGATAATGATAATTCTAACGAGGAATAAAATCAAATGCTATCCACTCTTACCCCAACAAGGTTACTAATCCTCTCCAATCAAATCTCGGTTTTGACATCCTTGGCTTTAAAATTCATACCTGTAGACAATTCTTCTTTAAATAGTATTATCTATAATCACAAACTCAATTTTTGTATATCTTGTATCATATGAAGACTAAGCTATTAAAATCACGTGATTTTGAGTAATGGATTTCCCCAGCTAAGAGCATCCTTAACCTAGGACGGGGGTGTAGACCTTTATCCTAAACCGGTTTAGGATAAAGGTCTACACCCCACCTTAGGTTAAGGATGCTCCCCCAGCTAACCACCAAAAAAATTACCGGCACGTGATCAATTTCTGCTGATCATTTCCAAAAAATAGACTATCAAGCTTAACGAAAATTTTTCTTTATTTTTTTAAATAAAACCTAGAAAAAGTATTATACGAATTCCAAAATTGAATCCTATATGAAATTTTGCCTTCTTTACAAGTTTACTTAATAATAAATAGTGATTATGAATACTGTTTTTTCAGTGAAATTATCTTTTATAAAATATAATATAAAAGTCAAAAAATGTATTTGAAACCTCCTTTTTATCTCTAAGCAAAATTGTTGAACATGTGATAATTCTAATAGGTGATATAATTTTTAAATGCTAAATAAAGTTTGTGTTATATTTTATTTTTAAAAAACAATTTTCGTTAAAAATTAATTTAACTATTTTTAGATATGATCGATAAAATTGATTATGTATCAGAGATTTTTAGCGATTACACTGAAAATGTTTAAATAATGATTAAAATACTATGTATTTAAATTTTACTATAAATTATTATAATTTTTTGCTATTATAAAATATATAAAAACTTTATTATTAAATCTTCTTATAGGACACTATTACACTAATTTTTGTAATACTTAAAAATCAACTTTATAACACTTGAGATTTGCTATTAAAGTCATTTTATAAGATATTATTATACTAATTTATTAGAAAAATAAATTTAAATACAATATTTTTATTACAAAAATTTATGAAATGATATATATTAAAAAATTCATTTTTTTTTATTTTTTTAGCAATTTTAAAATTTAAAAAAAAAAAAATTTTATTTTTTTATATTAATTTTTTTAAAAAAAAATTAAATAAAGTTTTTCAATAAAAATTTTTTATTAGAGGTATAAATATCTTAATCTTTTCATTCAAATACTCATATATTAAATATTTTAATATTTTAAATTTTATGAAGAATTTGAAACTTTTTTATAATAATGTTAATTATTTTTAAAATCTAAATTTTAGATTTTTTTGACTAATATTACATGTAAATCAAAATCTTAAACTACATATTATACGATCCTTTACAATAAATAAATAAAAATTAGAGAAAATTATAATAAAAGATTAGAAAATTACTAATCAAATAAAAGTTTATAAAGAAAATACAATTAGCCAGAAAATCATATAATAATAAATGAGTAATTAACTGAAATAATTTAATGAAATACAAATAATCTAATTTAACTATTAGATAATACATTTATATAGAACACAATATAACAAAAAAGTAATACAAATCTCATAATATAAACAAAATATAATATAATAACTGAAATGTGATATAGTAAATTAAATATTATACAATAATCAAAAAGTAACACAATAGTCAGAAAGTTATATAATAGGTCTGTTTAATTCTGATTAATATAATTTTTGATGCAATTTTAAGCAGTATGATTGGCTAAAATTTTGTACTAAATTTGCATTAAATTCATTAACATTTTGTAGATACATTATACAAATTATTAAATACCGTATACTCTTGAAAATAAGCATCCCTCAAAAATAAGCATCCCATATTTATATATCCTTTGAAATTAAGCACCCTTGAATATTATATTAAATTTTATTAAATTCATATAAAAGATTATTATATTTATAAATAAAAGAGAAAATAAACTATATTACCTACTCGACATTGCTAATATTTTCTTTATCAGAATTACCATCACTAATACTTAAATCATCTAATAAATCAGATATATGACAAGTTTTAAAAGAATTTATAATTATTTCGTCAGAAACTTACTCTCATGATCATTTTACCCATCCGCATATATCACTAAGCTTAGCATGTTGAAGATTACCTTTAGCAGTATGATCGGCACCACCATTAGCCATTCATAAATGCCATTCTTTTCTAAGATTATTTTTAAAAGATTTATTAATGGCTATATCAAGAGGTTGATATATACTGGTTAAGCTACTTGGAATGACCGCTAAGTCATAACCATTTTCTTTAAACTTACCCTTAACTGAATCTTTTAAATGACCTTTAAAAAAATCATATACCATTAACATTAGTATTCTGAATCTATTATTATTTTTATTACCAAGATAATCAATATATTGTAGCATTAATTCGGAATCCATCCAGCCGTTATCTTAGAATCAGACAAATATACCAGAAGGAATACATTCTCCTTTTGGTAATCATTTTCCTTTGAATATGCAAATCGGAGGGTATTTTGTACCATCTATTATATGAAAAAGTCATTTTATTTTAAATAAATTTTTTAAATTAAAAAAATTTTTTTTTAGATTTACAGACTTCTTACTTGCAGTACATGTCAAAACAATAGTAAAACAGGTTTTCTCATTACCCGTCATACGAATATGAATTGTTTTCTCACCTTTTTGACTAATGCTAAAGTTTCCAGCCATATCAAACTAGACCAGAGTCTTATTTATATTAAAAATATTATGTAGTTCAAAGGATTTTTTAAGTCTAAGATGGATAATAATTTGATAAAACTTTTCTAAAATTTCTTTAGTTTGTGCAGAGAGTTTTTGTGAAACTTTTGTATGTCTCCACCATACTAATTTATATCTTTTCATAAATGAAGACATCCAAGCATCAGATGTTTTAAAAAGTTTCGGCTACTATTGCTGTTGCCGGTGTTAATATTATGGATGTTGTTGTTACTGATATTGCTGAGATTATATTATATATTTCTAAAAATTCTATAATTTTAACTTTGCAATTGCATAAGTTACTGCTAAACCTTGTTTTCTCTGTTTTATAATCCAATTATACAGTCTTTTTTTGGACTTAAGATAAAAAGGTTTTCGGCCTGAACCAATTCTTTTACTATTTTGATCTACTTTATCCTATTTTGAACTGGCTTTCATCCATTTTCCAACTATATTAGCATCAAGTTCAAAATGACTTGCTGCTTTATTTCTTCCTACTTGTTTTGTATAAGTAACAACCTCTTTTTTTGTTTAATAGAATATGAACTACATTTACATTTGAATGTTACTATTTATAAAAAAAGTTACAGGGTTATGCACAGTAAATGCAAAATGTGCATTATACTCAAATGCGCAGTACGCGTGATTTATTATTAAGGATCGTCATTCGGTCTCACAAGATCGTCATACAATTTAAAAAAATTTTAAAAATCTCTTGAAAATAAGCACTCTTATAATAAAAAAGGGATGCTTATTTTCAAGAGTATACGGTAACCATATCATATTATTTTTTTTAGAAATTTTCTCACTTATTAAAAAAGAATTTTAAATTTTTTCGTGTTAAGTATTTTTTATTTTATAAATACTTATTATTATAGATAATATAATTAAAAATCAAAATAATAACTTAAGAATTTGTTATCTTTACTTTCAAAATATCAGCAGGTAAATATTTTAAAGAGTATGAAAATGTAGAATTTTTAAAATTATATAATAATGATAATATAGATTCATTTCTAAGAAATTATCTTTCTTCTAAAAATCTAAGTACTTTTTATTCAAGTTCTTCTTTAATTTATTCAGAACGTAGGCAAAAGACTATCTATGTATGAACAATAGTAATGAAAAATCTCTGTCTATCTATCTACTTAAATTTTGAGATAATACATGATTAGATATTGTTGTTAGTCACATTTTTTATCTAATTTACTGATTGTATAACACATTTTTACATTCTCAATTATTGTCTAAATTCTGATCTCTTTTTATTTTTTGTATTTTATATATTTATTTATTTTTCATTGTGTTCTTTGATATATAATATATAAACTTCAAATTAATTGTAAAATAACATAAAATATACATTTTATCAGAAATTTTTATCAAAAATTTACATTTTTTTTTCTTTTTATATAAATATTAAACTCTTCATATTACAATGTATAGACTGCAACCATTCTTCTTCATCTTTCCTTTTTTCAATCTTCTGCTGTTTTTAATATATTAAAGAGAACTGTTTGAGAT